TTAAACTAGTTACTTACCCAAATAATAAAAAATCTATACTTAGTACTTAACCCAACAAATATTGAGTAATTTGCAAGTAGATACTTATGTATTTGGTTTATGGAAATAAAAGGTCTAATATGACATACTATTTTTACCAATGTTATATATTTGGATTAAGATTTAGGAAAATGATACATACACCTTGTAAAATTACACACTTCATTACACACTGATGCCTTCTATTACTTGTGCCGTTAAAACTAACAATTTATGTTACTTGTACTGTTAAAATTGATGATTTTCATTATTTATACCGTTAAAACTAACAATTTCTATTATACATCCGTTAGTGTGTAACATTGTCCTTAAGATTTATTATTTATATGAGTTGTTATTGTTGTGTATGTGATTTATTTGGCTTATAAACCTTAACTTTTATTTTTAGGTTAAAACTTCATTTTGGTCCTTCTACTTTGATAAAAAAAAAAAAATCCTTTCTATTTCTTAAAATATTATTCGGCCCATTTTTCCCTAAAATTTATTATCCGATCACTTTTTAGTCCCTCCATTGACATTTTGCATACGTGATACATTAGATAACATAAATTTTAAAGTAAAGAGACTTAATAAAAAAAGTATTTTTTTGAAAAGAGGGACCAAAAGGTAGTCTTTTTTTATTTTTTTAATCTTTTAACTTTAAAATTTGTCATCTAACATAGCACTTAATTTTGTCTGTTAAATTGCTTCTTCAGATACTTGTACTTCTTCACTACAATAGCACACTCAACCGGTCTAAATGTCCATTCATGCAAATAAAAAACACAGCCAACAATCTTATTTTTAATCTATTCATAAGGTTTGGCTAGCACAATATCCAGCATCTTTGACCTAACACGTTCCTCAATACCGAAAACAATGGCATTCCTCCTGTACCACAACAGCCAAACCACCACTAAAAACAAACATGATCCCACTTCTTTCCCTACTTTCCTTCCTAGGCCATGTGAAAAAACTTCAGCCAAGTCCGTACATTATTTGGTAACACCCCTTCCAAACCCCACCACTGCAGCAATTGCATCCATACTAGCCATGCTTCCTTACATCTACAGAACAAGTGATTACACTCCTTCAGCCCCGCCTTGCATAAACATCACCTCATATCATCTCTCTGCACCATCACCCCTCTTTTTGGCAAATTAACTTTATAGTAGTCAGTCGATCCGACAGCAACCTCCATCCGAAAAAACTAACTTTTGAGGGTCCCAACTTGCACCAAATAATTTTGCATTCCCCACCACCAAGGCCACAATCTGTAGGCATCAAAAACTCATATGCTTTCCTCACCATGTAACAGCTAGCCCTCCTTGTCATGTTCCCACGTCCACCTATCCCCCTTTCCCCTCCTTCAAACTCACACCTTCTGTCAACTCCTGCATACCCTCATCCTCCCCTAATTCCTTGCCCAATCTACTCCTCCAACTCCACCTCCATCTCCAACAATCTCCCTCCCACTCCGCCATCTCTTTAACAGTATAATCCGTATTTATGGCCAGCTCAAAAAGTTTAGGGAATAAATCCCTTAAAGGTTTATCCCCAACCCACCTCTCCCTTCAGAAGTTCACAAGCTCTCCATCACCGACCTCCCATTTAAATCTCCTTACTAGCATGTTACCTACT